TCATATTTTGTTTTGAGTCAGTTTTGGAACTTTTTTGCCTCAAGGAGTTTGTCCATTTCACTCAGGTTAACTCATTTATTGCCATACAAATGCTTACAATATTCCTTTGTCATTTACTATAAGTTTGGTACTATTGAGACAGATAAAATGACACAAGTACACAAGTATTCCATAGGTATTTTGCTAAGAATAGAGCACTATTAATGATAATACTGTTAATGATAGGCCTTAATTGTAAGCATCTGTTTTAATATTTCTTTCTCCTTTAAATAAGCTAAGGTGTTGGGAATCAGGGTCATTTAACACCTTAATTGACTCTTGTTGGACCCTTTCCTGGTCCCCGTCTGATTTGAATAGAGAGCTTTCAGCAAAACAGCCCCTCTTTGGCAGCCAGCCAGACTGTCCTCATGGCAACCTGACTGCTTTTAATACTCTATGGACACCTTGTGAAAGCTATACTGCAACCATAGCTGCTTGCTGCCAAAGTACACCTCCAACTCCAGAAGGCACTATTTGAAACAACTTGTGCCACACTTTTTACAATCACAAAGTTGGATGAACTCTAGCAATTATTTTCGCTCAGGCCAGAAAGGAAACAGTTCCCCTGGTGGCCCAGCAGAAGGCCTGTGATTGGGGCAAACACAATCTTTCATTTTTGTAAAGGGCTGTGCTGTGATTGGTATACCCTTGCTGCATCCCAAAATCACCTTCTGGCTGTATAGACGGACTGCTTGGCTCACTTTTTGAGTCAGCCTGGAGAAACCTGTACTTCTCCCTGGTATTGCAACATTACACCCAGTGAAAGGCTTCTTTGGGTTGGTCTTTTTTTGCCTATTTTTGAACATTATCATTAGTAGAGCAGGCTGAGCTGGTAACAAATAGAAGATAATGGCAGTGGAGCAGTAGCAGATGCAGCCCTTGCAGTGATGGTAGTGGTAGTGGCAGCAGTAGTAGCAACAAGAGGTATCTGAAGAGTTTGCAAAGGAGGCTGGGGACAGAAATGGTGGTTAGCAGGAATGGCAGTTTAGAGGTGGTTAGCAGGAGTTACAGGTTCTTGTTGCTAAAAGAGTTCCAGGGAGTGGCCAAGGAGTGCTGACCCTTGGCCCTGAGAGCTATAACACTAGCTGTAATATTAGTGACTATCGAAGGTCAAAGGTCCCAAGCCCCTAGACCTAAGAGCTTAACACTAGCCACTATAGGAGTTGAGGGTGTCAACACTTGAGGCCTACCCAGGAGCTGTAACACTAACAGGTACTGTCTGCTACTGCTGCTCATTGCTGCTGAAAGCTAAGGATTACAATACAAGCCTAGTGCTGGGGCTGCTTGGAAGTAAAGACCAGAGCAGTAAACCTCCCACTGTGTAATTGGAGCCACATGTCTCTGGCTTCTCAAGCCTGGAACAGTAAGTCCAGGAGTTGGAGCTGTAAGCCTCTGGATCTGCCAGTCAAGCCTGTAGGTACTCAATGGCCTGGGACTGCCCACACTACAAGAACTTCTCTTCATGTACTACTCATGATTTCTGTCCAAGTAGTGCCAAAGGACTCCAGCTAGTTGACCAATAACAGTAAGATTTCTTCACACATGCTTGATGTTTGTCATCTGAATCTTGCCTCTCATTTTCTTGATCAGTCTAGCCAAAGGTTTGTTAATTTTGTTGATCTTTTTGAACTAATTTTTTGCCTTATTGATTTTTTTTGTCTTTCTATTTATTTCTGGTCTAATCTTTATAACTTTCTTCCATTTTCTTTAATTTTCATTTGCTGTTCACTTTCCAGTGGCTTAAGATAGATGGCTAAGTTTTGATTTCTCAGAACATGTTCCTGTTAAGTGATAGATGACTGTAGTTGCTTTGTAGTTTTGTACAAATCTTCTATTTGTTGATCATTTGTCTAATTGTTTTATCTGGTTTTAAGTCTCCAACTATTATTATAGAATTATCTATTGTACTTTTCAATTCAGTCAGTTTTTCATGTAATTTGGTGTTTCCTCATTAGGTGCATACAAGTTTAAAATTGTTGTATCTTCTTGGTGGATTGATTCCTTTGCATTATAAAATGCCCTTCCTTATTGGAGGTGGGTGTTTCATACCTGTAATCCTAGCTACTCAGGAGGCAGAGATCAGGAGGATTGAGTTTGAAGCCAGCGGGGCAAATAATTCATGAGGCCCTATCTCAAAAAAATCCATCACTTAAAAGGGCTGGCAGAGTGGCTCAAGTGGAAAGAGTACCTACAAAACAAGTGTGAGGCCCTGAGTTCAAACCTCAGTGCCGCCCACCCCTCAAAATTCTTCCTTGTGTTCAGTAGCACTGTCACTGTAAGTGAGGCTTCTTTGAAAGTATTATCTGTCTTTTTTCCCTGACTGCTTTTAAGATTTTTCAGATTATTTTGGGTCGTTTTACTGTCACAACTGTGGATATGGATTTCTTTTTATTTACCCACTATGGAATTCACTGAGATTCCTGATTTTTAGCTTCTTGAGTACAGAATTGGAAAATTCTCAGCTATTATCTCTTCAATATATAGTCCTTCTCTCTCTCTTTCCTCTCCCTCGCTCTCTTTCCCCCACCCCTTATCTGTATTTCAGCTTTTCACTGTATTGTCCATTTTTCTTAACCTTTTTCCTGTATTATAATTTTTTTATCTCCTTGCTGCATTATAGATACTTTATATGATTTCCTTCCTTCCTTCCTTCCTTCCTTCCTTCCTTCCTTCCTTCCTTCCTTCCCTCCCTCCCTCCCTCCCTCCCTGCTTCCTTTCTTCCACACTCTTTTTTGTGTTACTGCGAATTGAACTGAGGGCTTTGTGCTAGCTAGGCAAGCACTCTAGTACTTGAACCTTGCCCCAGTCCTTACATGATCTGTTTTCTACTACATTAACTCATTTTCTTCTAACTACAATCAATCTTCTACAAAACATACCATATTTCAGTATGTTTAGTGATTTTACTAAATTGAAAAAAATCTGCTGGGCATGGTGATATATACCTGCAATCCAAGCACACAGAGGCTGAGGCAGGAGGATCTTGAGTCTGAGGCCAGCCTGGGCTACATATGGAGACCCTGTCTCAAAAAAAAATTTTGCTTTTTTTGCAGTGATTTTCAAGTTTGGAGTTATTTATTTAAGCATAGTTGCTTTATAGATTATGCGATAATACTGAAATTTGCAGTACGTGTGTATCTGTTCTATTGACATTTTTTTCTGCTGGCTCTCATAAGGCCACATAGCTTTCCATGCCTGGTTATCTTTGTGTGCTGGTTATTGTCCTGGAAAAAGTCTTTGTGAAGCTTGTTTGATACTTAGGATAAAGTTACATTATCCTAGAAGGAAATATTATTTGCTTCTGCAGTGTTCTTTTTTTAATCAGGATATAATTGTGACATTTACATTTGTGCTTACAATATATCTTAGTTAGATTTATCCCCTTTATCATTCTCAGTCATCCCCCTCCTCCTTCTTAGAACAATTTCAACAAATTTCATTTTTCTATTTTCATACACAAACACAAAATGCACCTACCACATTCGCCCTCCTTCACCCTATCCATTTACCCTCCCCCTCTAACAGGTATCCTCCCCCAGACAGGACTTGTTTCACCTTACTGTCCTTCATCTTTTTAAGTATATTTTGATTATTCAAGGAGGTTTCACCTTGGTATTTTCCACATGTATGTATCATTCTTTAATCATATCAACCTTTTCTGTTTCTTATTCTTTCTCTATTGCCCTGTTCCCCTATTATTTAACGGCTTACAGTGTTAAATAATATGAAGATGTTACACTATCTTCATACACAGATGATTGTGTTTCAGTATTATTCACTCTCTGTCATTCTCTTTTCCTTTCCCACCTCTGTGTAAAGTTCTTAAGGATTTGACCAATGTGGAAACATTTTAAATTGCATTAACAAATTGGGGTTTCTTTCATCATCTAACATAATACAACTTTTCTTAACAAATTCATCTGAAATTAAGATAAGTGTTTGCTAGGGGCTAAGGTTAGAGGAAGGGAGGGGGTATGGCAACAAAGGAGTGGTGCATGAAGGAGACTGTGTTGGTGTTAAAAGTTCTGTATCTTTCTTTTTTTTTCGGTACTGGGGTTTTTTCGAGATAGGGTCTTGCTAAGTATTTGCCCGGGATGACTTCAAACCTTGATCTTCCTGATCTCTGCCTCCTGAGTAGCTAGGATTACAGGTGTGCGCCACCAGCGTCTGGCAAAATTTCTGTATCTTGATTGTGGCCATAGTTACATAAAGCCATACTATATGATAAACATGCATGGAGGTATACATACACACATACAAACGAATTCCTGTATAACTGCTAAAATTCTAGTAAGCTCTATGTGTTATGCCAATATCAGATAACACATTTTTATATTGTAGTATTGTTGTATAAGATGTTAACATTAAAGAAGGCTGAGTGAATGGTATGTAGGACTTCCCTGTACATTTCTTTGCAACTACTTGTGAATTCATAATTATTTCCAATTGAAAAGGAAAGCTTCTTGCAGCCTGACTCATATTTTTTGGATTGAGAAGATGTTTAGATACCTTGATTTTTAACAAAGGCAGTTACCTTCTCTTTTAGTTTTATTGAGTTAATTGTATTACTGTCGGTTTGTGTTCATACCATCCTTCCAAAGTAGCTTTATGTCAAAACAAAAGTTTAAAATAATGCTTATCCCTCTTGGTATAAAGCAACTAGTGAACTCCCTTGCCTGGAGTATTAAGAACCCAGCCTTTAGGAGACTGGTGTTTAGGGGCAGAAAGTGTAGTCTCCAAGGGTACTCAGGTGCCAGAAAAAGCCTCAGCCACGGAGAAAAAGAATAGTACTATTGTTGCTAAGTGTTTTTGCATGAAGGTTGGACTAGGAATGCTAACATAACTGTTATTCAGTATTGAACCTGGAGAATTATGGGATAGAGGTTGTTATATTTTTATAACTATACATCTTCTTGAAAACAGATGATTTTTTTTTTAGCTAAAATCTTTTTATATTGCAGGAAATAAATGTTAGTATGGAGAATGATTTCAACACTGAATCATCATGTACCTTTACTCTTCAAAGTTCTTCAGAGACAATGGTTTCTATTCAGTTATTAGATTTCAAAATAAGTTTCCTGGAAGCATTAGAAGAATTGCGTATGAGAAGGGTAAGCTCCTGTTTTGGAAATTTTTTAAATAAGATAACTTGATTTTATATAGGTTTTTTGTTTTTCAAGGAGCAAAACCAAAATAATCTCTTGTTTAGAAAGAAAATATACAGTCTAAATAATGAAGTAAAATTGTATAGGACAGATTAAGCTGAGGATCAGGGGTAGGAGATAAGAAAAATTTCAAAACTAAAGCCAAAAATAGAATGAGTAATTTTGAGATTGTTAAATTACTTGATAACTACTATTTATTGAATCACTAATTTATTATTGAATACAATTTATTGGGAATGCATCGATAACACTGTAGTCAGACACCATGGCTGATTAAAAAGAACCACTCTCAGGGAGTTGATATTTTTGTTAAGGTTATAAGATAGGTGCCTATGAAAAGATTAATGAAACAAACAGCACATGATTGATAGAATAAATGTATGTAGTAAGTATTCTGAGTCCAAAGAATCAGATGTCCTTATTTTTAAAAGTGATAACTGAGATTTTTTTTAAAAAGTGGCATCTAATATAAAATTATAAAAGATGAGCTGGGTGTAGTGGTACATGCTTGTAATTCCAGCACTTGAAAACTGTGGTAAGAATATCATGAGTTCAAGCCTTGAAACTCATAGTGAGACCCTGTCTCAAAAAAAAATTAAAAAAGATGTTGGTTTCAGCAGAAGATTTATATTATACAAATCCCCTTAAAATAAGCATTTCATTTTTGAGGACGTATTGATTTAAATTTGAATAGTATATTATTAATTCTACATAGGATAGGTTGGATTTTGTTCTGGGGAGAAGAAAATAAAATATGAAACTACTGTAATAATGATCTGGAGGTGCTTTACTACGACTTATCAATGATTGTGGAAGATAGGACAAAAGAGCAGAAAAAAGAATCAATAAAATAAGCTGCAAGTAAGAGAAAAGGAGATCTGAAACAACAGTTTTTATTATATCTGGAATTTAAAATTATTGAAATTTATTGTTATAGCAAGATAATTTAAATACCACAATATTTATCCTATATAAAGCTACTTATTGCTGGGTATGGTGGCACGTGCCCTTAATCCCAGCACCCAGGAGACTAAGGCAAGGAGGATCCTGGGTTCCAGGCCATCCTTGGCTACATAGTGAGTTGTAGGCTAACCTGGGCTACATAGAGAGACCCTATATCAAAAATAAAAATAAAGCTATTTACTAATAGAACAAAAATCTGTTTGAAGAAGAAATTCTGCTGAAAAAGGGTATCATGGATAAGTGATACAAGGAAGTATTTTTGAAAAATTAGCTTAAAATGTTTCCTAAGTGAAACAATTTTAGGGTACCACTTAAAACTTTATTTTATTATATAAAATATGTATTTTATTATGTTTCATACATTATATTTTGGTCTACTTATATTTTCAACTTGAGAGACATCCTTCTTTAAAAAAACCTGAAATTTTTAGAGTGAGTAAAGGAGTAGTGGTCATTTTTATTTAAAAATTATTCCAAAAGCTTCAATGTTTTAATTTAGTTTTCTGATTCTGTGCTTGTGCCTTCAGTACTTTGACAATGATGTTTCACACCTTGATAAGGAAAGCATGCTTGATCCTGCCATGTACACATGTAGCTTACATGGAACCCCACCCTAGCCCCCTGCTCACATGTTTTTAGACTGTCTCACAGCATGAATCCCTTGAAGTCTGACTGGGCACCCACCAAATGAAGATTTTGGAACTTTGTCAGCCTTCTTGGTATAAAGGTAGACTGCCTAGTTTTAGAACCTGTATTGTAGGAAAGTGTACAATAACATATCAAACCCTGAATCATTCTGAATGCCTCTAAATACCATACTCAGAAGAGGAGGATAATGTTTTTAATAACCAAATGTAAGAATATATACTACTTTCAGTGAAATTCCTCATTGAAAAGGGAGCTTCTTAAAAGGGGTAAACTTTTTCTTCCATTTATTGGAAGAAAGCAGTTACTGGTTTTCATACCCTAATGGCCACACTTTATCAGTATTCCTGGATTTGAATTTTTCCCTTATTTTAATTGAGACAATTTCAAAACAAGCACCAATGTATCTACTGTGGTATCTCCACTAATAGCACCCAAGGATATCCACATCCTAATCCTGAAAACCAGTAAATGTATTAGAATATATGGCAAAAGAGACTTTGTAGTTGTGATTAAGGATTTTTGGATGGAGTGCATTATTTTGGTAGAACTAGTATAATCAGAAAGGTTCTTTTTTTTTGTTGTTTCCCTCCCCCCTCCCTTTTTTCTTTTGAGACAGGGTCACATTGTATAGCCCATGCTAGCCTCAAACTCACCATTCTCCTGCCTCAGTTTATTGAGTGCTGGGATTACCGGCATGTGCTGTTATGTCTAGCTCTTCACAAAGACTCTTAGAAGATGGTGACAACAGAATCAGAGTTGAGGACAAGAGAAGCAGAGAGTCAAAGAAAGAAATCTGATGATGAAAATAGGGTTTGTAATCAGAAATAGATTTGAAGATGTTATGCTACTGGAGGAAGGGGCTACAAGCCAAGGAGTGGCTTGGTAGCCAAGGTAGGTGGATGCTGAAAGAGGAAGTCTTTGGATTCTCCCCCAGAGGCTCCAGAAGGTCTGCAACCCTACAGACACTTCAGACTACTTCTGACCTCCCGAGCTGTAACAGAGTAAATTGAGTTGTTTAAGTTTGTTGTAATTTGTTAAAGCAGTAGTGGGAATCTAGTATATCTGTCACCTAGGTTCTGCACTTGATTTCATATATATCTATACATCATTGATTTATTTTTTGATGCATTTTCAGGTGAGTTAGAAATTATTTCAGTATGCATATTATTAAATAGAGTTCAATATTAGTTTATATTTTTTCTTTTAATATAAAATTTATATTGAATGAAATGTGTAGTTCGTCGTTTTAGCCACTTACTGTGCATGGGTATAGGCAGCATTTCTGTTGCATCTGGTAACCCAAGCTATCCTCAGCCTTTCTGGTGCAAACTTTTTTTCACTTTTTTATTAGTGCATATTAATTGTACAATGTAGCGGGTTTCATTATGCATAAACCATAATTTGATCATATTTACCTATTACTTTTTCTTACAACCTCTTCCTCCTACCCTCTTTTTATCTTTCTTGTAGTTTTTTAAATGGGGTTCATTATTAATTTTTCATACATGCCTACAGTGTACATTTAATCACATTTTCCTCCTTCTGTCCCCTTTTCTCCTCCCACCTCTTGTTGGTTAAGACAGGAGGATCTGTTAGGCTAGGATTTCAAGACTAGTCTTCACAAAATAGCAACATCTCATCTCAACACAAAACAAATAAACAAAAAATAAATGAAAATATTTGGGAATTTTCTTTCACTTAATATTAACTTTTAAAAATTGATTTTTGGCTAAGTTCTACTATGTCTGATAATATACTCTATACAGTTTCAATCACTTAATGTCTTATAATTTCAGTCCTCCTCTGAAATTCTTTTTTGTTTTATGAGACAAGAGTCTTGCTGTGTAACCCAGGCTGGTCTTGAACTCAGGATCCTCCTGCTTCAGCCTCCCTAGCGTTGGGATTGCAGGCATGAGCCACCATGACCAGCTCTGATACTCATTTTGTCATTAGTTTATTGAGCACATCATCACATATATTTTATTTATTTATTTATTTAGTCAGTAGTGGGGTTTAGATTCAGGGTTTTGTGCTTGCTGTGCAGATGCTCTTCTGCTTGACGGGGCCTCCAGCCCCTTTTTCCTCCCCCCCCACCCTTTTTTTTTTGGCAGTACTAGGGATTGAACTCAGGGCCTTGTGCTTGCTAGACAGGTGTTCTACCACTTGAGCCACTCTGTCACCCCCTTTTGTATTGGTTATTTTTGAGATAGGGTCTCTCTTTTATGCCCAGGATGGCCTGGACCACAATCCTCTTATTTGTGCTTCTCTGCGAACCTGAGGATGACAGGCATGTACTACTGCATCCAGTCATTGGTGAGTTGGGGTCTTGCAAACTTTTTGCCTGGGCTGGCCTCAAACCATGATCTTTCCAATCTCTGCTTTTTGAGTAGCTAGAATTACAGGTTTGAGCCACTTTTCCCAGCTTATTTTTGAGCTAGGGTTTTGTTTTATGCCTGGGCAGGCCTAAACCACATTCTATTTATGCTTCTTGCCAGTAGCTGAGATGAGAAGTGTGGGCCACCACACCCAGCTTTTCCGGTTGAGACTGGGGGGTGATCTCATGAACTTTTTGCCTAGCCAGCCTAGAACTGCAATCCTCCTGATCTCAGCTTCCTTTGTAACAAGGATGACAAGTGCATGCCATCACACCCAGCTGTTAGTTGAGATGGGATTTTGTGAACATTTTACCTAGGCTAACCTTGAACTGAAATTTTAAAGCCTGTGTCAACAAACTCCAATACTATATCTCTTTTAGATTCATATCAATTTTCTCCTTCTCTTCTTCTTTCTCTCTTTCTCTTTCTTTTTCTTTCCTTTTTGGTCATTTAACATAATCTCCTGTAGTGTAGGGTAAATTTTGACTAAATGACTGACTTTGTTCATGAAAAATTGGGAAAGAAAAATTTGAACCTCATAAAACTAAAAAGCTTCTGTTCATCAAAAGAAATGGTCTCTAAACTGAAGAGAACACCCACAGAGTGGGAGAAAATATTTGCCAACTATACATCAGACAAAGACTTGAAACCGAATAATAGGACTTAAAATCATAAATTCTCCCAAAACTAATGACCAATAAAGAAATGCGCACGTGAACTAACAGAACTTCTCAAAGAAGAAATTCAAATGGCCAGAAAAACACATGAAAAAATGCTCACCATCTCTAGCAATAAAGGAAATGCAAAGTTAAAACCACGCTAAGATTTCACTCACCTCTGTTAGAAATCAGTCATCTGCAGACAGCCAAACCAACAACAGGTTGTTGTGAGAGAGCGCAGGGAAAAAGGAACCTCTTCACACTGTTGGTGGGAAGTGACTAGACAGACAACTCTGGAAAAAAATTTGAGGCTACTTAAAAAGCTGGACAGTCGATATCGTAATTTGATCCAGCAAACCACTCTTGGGGATATACCCAAAAGACTGTTTACTCCAGAGGCCCTGCACATCCATGTTTATGCGGCACTATTCACAATCCAGAGCACAGTTATGGAAAGCCAAGATGCCCCCACCACTGACGAATGGATCAAGAAATGTGGTATCTACACACAATGGAATTCTATGCAGCCATGAAGAAAGAACGAATGTTATCATTCGCTGTAATGGATGGAATTGGAGAACATCATTTTCTGAGTATGAAGTGTTAGCCTGGCCCAAAAGACCAAATATATGTTCTCCCTCATATGTGGACATTAGATCAAGGGCAAACACAACAATGGGATTGGACTTTGAGACTCTATGATAAAAGAGCTGAGAGCACACAAAGGCAGGGTGAGGATAGGGTAAGACACCAAAAAACTAGCTAGCATTTGTTGCCTTAACGCAGAGAAACTAAAGCAGATACCTTAAGGCAACTGAGGCAATCCGGAGAAAGGGGACACAAGGTACAGAGAAAAGGTTAGATCAAAAAGAATTAAACCTAGAAGGTAAATACACACGCACAGAAAATTAATGTGAGTCAATGCCCTGTGTAGCTATTCCTTATCTCAACCAGCAAAAACCCATTGTTCCTTCCTATTATTGCTTATATCTCTCTCTTCAACAAAAATTAGAGATAAGGGCAAAATAGTTCTCACTCCGGGGTATTGAGAGGGGGGGAGGAGAGGGAGGGGGCGGAGTGGGTGGTAAGGGAGGGGGTGGGGGCAGGGGGGAGAAATGACCCAAGCCTTGTATGCACATATGAATAATAAAACAATAAAAAAAAAAGAAAAAAAAAGTAAGATTGTGCTGTAAAGGCTTAAATATTCTAGTGGCTTTGGTCAAAATAAGCAAAACATAATAGACGTGAAAATAAAGTCAAAGAAAAAATGTAAACTCCCTTAATTGTATTCCATTACTTAACTATACTGTAATTTATGAAAGTGTGAACATTATTAATTTTTTCTCATGGATCTAAATTAGTAATGTTAATGGAATGGTAAAGATCTGTGTCAACAAAATAGTTTATATTGGATCCATAGTGTGTGCAATAGAAGTTAGACTCTATTCCTGATAAAGGCAATAAAAGATCTTTACCTGGCTTCTAGACTATCAAAATAGGCTTTCATTTGATAACCTTTTATAAACCATTTCTCAGTCTGTATCTGAAGAGAACTGAAAATTTAATAGCACAACATTCCATGCAAATTGATAACTGTACCATCACATGGTGTGTATTATGTATCATAATAAAATCATAAGCAAAGTATTATGGTAGTTTAGAAAAATGACACATTTGTTAAATATCTAAACAGGAACAAATCCTTGAATTTTAAATGAAGAATAAAGAGTTTTGGATAGTCTAAAGTAACAATGATTTGCTGAAGCAATTGTGAGGGAAAACTGGGCAGTTAGTGGTAATAACTTGTGGTAAATAACAAGTAGCACTTTAGTATCCCATAAAATTAGTGGAATTACTAATGAGTAGAATCATACCCCTTTCTGATTATATGATTTATAGAATATATTCTGCATGGACAATTGATGAAATAGGTGTTAGCCACATTGCCAAAAATAACATTAGCATGTACTTCTACTATATTAGGATTTTAATTTAACTTTATGCTTTCTATAAGAATTATTATGTTTCATTTCATATTTTATCTTTTTATCATTTATATTCATTTTCTATATTCAAGCAGATTTTTAAAGTTTTTAATAAAAATCCTATGAAATTGTCAATGAGAAAAATACGTTAAATTTAGTAAGAAAATCCCTTTTTTAATTTCAATAAAGTAGCTTAGAATATAGAACCCTAAAAGTGTTTATTTTTTATTAGATGCCTTAGGACTACAAGGATTTAAGTGTTTTTTACAAAAACAATAAAAGAGGAGTAATTTGATGGCTTATTTACTCTTTATAACCTTTAGAAAGTGACATCCTTTTTTAAAGTGCTTGCTTCAGGCTGTAGTTTTACAAGATGGGCTGTGTATTGGTAAGACCTCTTCAGTTCTTAACCTTGAAAAGATTTAGGGACATAGAACTTATAGCAGGCACTTGTTCAAGAAGCCCAAACTGTAACTAGGTACTTTCACTCTTCTTTTCAAACTCATATCTATCTCCTACAAAATTGCTCAACTGTTTCTTAGGTTGTCTAACAAAATACTAAGAGCTCTTCCAGATAGTTTTTTTGTTTGATTTGCTAAACAATATTCAAGATAAATATCTCTGATATTCATGGGATAGCTTAAAAGTTCATTAAAAAAAAAAATCTCTTTCCTGACTGGGGGTATGGCTCATGTGGTAGAACCCTGGTTTAGCAAGCATGAGCCCTGAGTTTAATCCCCAGGACTACTAAAAAATAGGGCTTGAATTTAGGATCTTGCATTTGCTATGCAAGCACTCTGTGACTTGAACCATTGCAGCAGTTCTCAAATTCTTTTGTTTTTCATGCAGATATTTTTCATTTTTTCTCTAGAAATGTTTTACCAAAAATCAGAATGTACTTGTATATTTAACATAGTTTCACCTTTGACTTTCAATGGTTTTCTAGCTCAGATTAGAAGATTAAACTCTGAAGTTTTTGAAGGAGAGGCATATATAACAGAAGTCTATATTGCTCTACTGCATCCACAATCTTTTAAAGATAATTTAATTCAATATTTAAGAGACTCTGGATACACATAATCTGGGCTCAAAAATGGGTTCTGGAGTCTGGCATGGTGGTACCTGCTGGTAGTCCCAGTTACTCAGGAGGGTGTGGCTGGAGGTTCACTTGTGCCTAGGAGTTCCAGACTAGCCTGGGCAGCATAGCAAGATCCTATCTCAAATACCAAAGCAAACTTTTTACCTCTGCTATGACGTTAACCAAGTTATTTAGCCTGTTGTTACCCTCAGTTTCTTCATCTATAAAATAATAATAGTAAGAATATAAAATTATCTTCTGGATTAGTCAATACATTAAAAAGTGCTTAAATTGATATATGGATTGTGGTAAGATCTTAGAATCTAGCCACTAAAAATTCGGTGTGTAACAAGACCTACATGAAATCAGTATCTTGCCCATTTTTAATCCAACTGCTTTCGGAAGAGATGTGTGTTATATGTACTTTCCTCCCACCTACCAAAAATGTATATACATACATTTTTCTTTCAGTATTTTTTTTTTTAGCTGTGTGTTTGTTGCCCAGGCTGACCTTGAATTTGAAATTTGTCTGTCTCAGCCTCTCGAGTAGCTGGAATTGCAGGCGTGTACCTCTCCACCACCAAGTAAGTTTTAGTTACAGATATGTATTACTGGAAGAGATTCTAATCTCTCCTCACTTTATTTATCATGTAGCATAAATGTTGGTATGTACTTCTTTTCTTTTTCTATGTAGGAAAAATCCTGATTGTGCTTTAAGGTTCACTTTCTCATCAGTTTGAGTCAGATAAATCCTCATTAGTCTTGATCACTTGTGAAGGTCCACTGTACTCTCCTTGCCAGTACTGGTTTCGGAGTGGGCAAGTTAACCCAGTGATGGCAGTGGATTTGTGTTGAGAAGCTTCTGGGAAAGGTTTCATTATATAGAGAAAATGCACTTTTTCTACTGAAAGATTCTCTCCTGTCTATCATTAATGCCTGCCATTGTGGGAATTCTGCAACCCTGAGGGGGCTGGAAAGCCTAAGGAAAATCACTTCAATAATGGGAATATGGAAAGATGGCCAGAATTATACCTCTTGTTATTGTTGAGTGAGCCACTGAAATAATCTGTGAAGTGCTTTACCTTTAGATTCCTTTTTGTGTGAGATAACTTCCGTGAGCCATTGTGAATTGGGTTTTGTTGTTACTTGCTGCTGAAAACATTCTGAATGAGACAACTTTCATAAAATTCTGTCTTTAAGTAACAAAGCATGTGTATTTATCTGTGTTAATGTATGTATATGTTTATGTAATAAAGCAAAGAACACATAAGTGAGTCATCAGGAAAGTATTTAATTAAAAAAGCACATATTTCATCTGTTAACTTCTTTTTTATTTCTCCCAACATTTTGTTAAGAAAATTATCAAACATAGAGCAAAACTGAGTGAATTTTACAGTGAACATTCATATACTATTAACATTTTACTGTATTTGAATTACTACCTATCTATCCTTCTTTCTCTTTTTTATTATCATATATGTGCATAAATATATTTGAGGGGGAGTGGTGGTACTGGGGTTTAAATTCAGAGTTTTTTACTTGCTAGGCAGGTGCTCTACCACATGAGCCACTCTACCAGCCTTTTTATGTGATAGGTACTTTGGAGATAACATCTATCCAACTATTTGCCTGGACAGGCTTTGAACTGTGATCTTCCTGATCTCTGCCTCCTCAGTACAGGTGTGAACCACCACCATCTGGCTATTATCATATACTAATTGTACAAAATAATGAGTTTCGTTGTGACATTTTCATACACGCACACTAAATATCTTGATCATATTTACCCCATTCTATCCCTTTTTTTACTTCATTATTATATGATTTCAGAGCATCAGTATACTTGCTACTGAACACTTCAGAATGCCTACTGTTAAGCAGAGTTCACCCCTTTTTTTCTTTACACTAAAATTTATATACAATGAAATGTATAAATATTAGCTATACATTAAATGAGTTTTGATAGATGCATATACTTGCATAATGCAAACACTTATCAAAATATAAAATGTTTCTGCCAACCCCTTTAGAAAGTAAATTCCCTTATGCCTTTTCATAGGCATATCCTGTCCCTCTTCTCAAGAGGCAACCACTGTTTTAATAATTTTTTCACACTCAGTTTAGTTTTGATTGTTTTAACATTTCATGTAAGTGAAACCATACACTATATACTCTTTTAAGTCAGGGAACTTTCACTCGGCATGTATTTAATCCATATTTGTTATGTGTGTTATCAAACATTCTGTACATTTTTTTAAGTGAATGTTTTTTTAAAGTGTATTTCATTTTCTATGGCATGACTATATATTATTTTTTTATTTTGGTGGTTCCAGGTTTTGAACTCAGGGCTTCAGGCTTGCTAGGCAGGTGTTCTACCTCTTGAGTCACTCTGCCAGCCCTATAAATTCTATCTTTAATTTTGTTTTCTACATGGTAATCATTAGTGTATAGAAACAATTAATTTTTTGTGTTTATCTTTTATCTTGTTTTCAGTTCAAAACGGTTGGTCTGCTTGCTGCATGACGAAGCCAATTAGTTGAGATGCAAGGCATGCCAGAGAATGAACTTTTATTACCATGAGCTAGCTGATTGGAAGATGGAGGACCATCTTGTCCTAAAAGGGCCAGATTTCCTGGAAACTGATTTAGTGGAGGTTTATGTAACAGATGGACAACTGAAGACTAGTGGACACTTTTTTGGTGGTGAAGGTGTGTGACCAAATGACACACATCTGCTCTTAATTGCCATATCACCAAATACTTCTCACTTTTGCAAACCTTAATAAAAAAAAGATCATTATTTGTTCAGGCTTATTCTTATCACTGATTAGTTTGCTTATTGGCAGTTCGTGACATGTTACAGATAGATAGGTTAGGGAAGTAGTCTCTTGTGCTAATCACCGAACTGATGGTAATGAAAGAAAACATACTTTATCTGATTATTGTGAAAGACATTGGTCAAAGTGAAGTTCCATTGGGAGTCAGTTCAGTGGCACATGTCTGGAACCTCAGCATTGAAGAGGCTGAGGTGAACCTGGGCTACAATGCAAGAACCTGTCTCAAAAACACACAAAACCAAATAGGGATTTGAGCACCAAATTTGGTTTCAGTGCTTGGATTCACCATGGTCTTGTTGAACCCACTAGTTCTGGGAGACTATTTTGTAGATTTCCTGTACATTCACTTACCAGCAAATGCAGACAGTTTTATTTCTTCCTTTGTTATTTATGCCTTATTGCAGTGACTAGAACTTTCAGCATTGAATAAGAGCAGTTGGGAGTAGACATCCCTGTATTGTTCCTGATCCTAAAATAAAAATTCAGTTTTTTACCATCAAATATGTTAAATGTAAGGCTTTTGTAAATGCTTGTTACAAAAGTAAAGGTAATTTCCTTTATTCATAACTTGCTGAGAGTTAAAATTTTTTTTTATCATAAGTGGGTTTTGGGTTTTGTCAAATTGATACATCATTTTTCTTCTTTAGCATATTGATGTGGCAAACTCCACTGATTGATTCAACATTGTTGAATCATTGTTGAGTTCTATATGTTAATATGTTATTAAAGATTTTTGCATTAAAATTTGTGAACGATGTTGGCCTGAGTTTTCTCTTTTCATCATATTTTTGTCTGATTTTAGTATAATGGTAAACCTCATAAAATGAAATGGGCTGTGTTCCCTTCTCTACTTTTTTTTCTGGAAGACACTATAAAGTGGTGTTAATTATTCTTTAAATACTTGTCAGAATTCTTCAGTGAAACCATGTAGACCTAGAGATTTCTTTTTGGGTAGCTTTTAAATTATAAATTCAATTTCTTTAATGGTTATAGGGGAGTCAGATCATCTTAGTTGAGTTTTGGAAGTTTGTGACTTTTGAAGAATTAGACTATTTCTCTTAAGTTGTCAAATTTATGAGTATAAACTAAACTTGTTTTTAGCATTCTCTTACTACTTTTTTAATGACTGGAGTATTTTTGTCCATGGTTTCTATTAGTTCTTTGAGCACATTTAAAGCAGTTGATTTAAAGCCTTTGTGTAGTAAGTTCAGCGTCTGGACTTTCTTGAGGGCAGTTTCTGTAATTTTTTTTTTTTTTTCTGTGAATGGGTAGCACTTTTCTAATTCTCTGCATGCCTTGTGAATTTTTGTTGAAAATTGTATGTTTTGGATATACAGCAACTCTAAAAACCAATTCTTGCCCCTTTCTAGGGTTGCTTATTATTGTTTGTTTAGTGACTTGTCTGAATTAATTTGTAAAGTCTGTAGATCTTTCCTATGTGGCCATTGAAATTGCTGTTCTATTAATTTCATGAACAGCTAGTGATTTGACAGAGATTTCCTTAAATACTTAGAACAAAACCCTTCTAGTCTTTGCAGAAGGGCTGTTTATGTTTGTGAGGCACATGGTCAACACTCAGCCTGGCAGTTTTCAGCACTGCCTGTTGAGGTTTTTATCAGAAGCTTCAAATCTCTCTAATGATGCCTTTTGTACATGGTGTGGGCTAGTTCAGTATTACATTATTTTAAACAATACTGGAGAATGATTCTAAATGACTGCCTTCTGCTTGGCGTGGGGCTCCCCATTTGACTTTTCTGGTCTTCCCTTTATTCTGCTTCTTAGAGATACTGTGTCTTTGCAGTTCTCCTAGTTGAATCTCCCTGTTCTTTTAAATTACTGCTTGTTAGTGTAGTGGTGGTGGGAGGAAGGGCAGTCTGTGATATCTTCATTAGGCCTCAGGTGAAGCTGAGCCTTAGGATGAGATTGACACAAGTTTTCTGGTCCCTCCTTCAAATGTAATGTTGGACCTAGCATTCATTCCTGCCTCCCTTTGCCCCAGCTATGGTTTTGTTTTCTTGATCTGCCTCCTCCCAGTTGCAGAGTGTTTCTACAAGTACAAGGAAAGTTATAGTTTTTATTGTACTTCTCCCTGTAGATAAAGGCTTTTGTCCTACAGAGGAGATAACACACCTATCTGTCTAGATAACATTTTCAGTGATGTTGTTGGTCTTCTTTGCCATCTGCACAGTTTTCTACTGTTTTCTTGGTTGCTCTTCCCCTGCAGATCAATGGTTTTGGTCTGAGAGGAAATAGACTTGTGACTGTTTTTCCCCTTCATAGCAAATTCCAGAAGCAAAAACTTTCTCAGTAGTCTTCCTCACTTTTCCTGTATGCTCCAGGTGGTTTCCCAGAAGAAAAGCATGCAAAAAAGGTACAAATCTTACTTCAAAGACTGGTGGTGGATCTATATTCTTACAGTAGAGTGCATTTTGCCCTTAACTGTTTATCAAGGACTTTTACCTGAATATTCTTACCAGTACTCAGTGGCTTGTGTCCCAGAAAAACAAATGCTGGAGATATGCTTCTCTCTGCAGACACCTGTCTTTACCTGGATTTTGGATTACTCAGTTGATCTGGGGCTTTGGTTCTCTGATGGATTTATCCATTCATTTTACATTTTTTTCCAGCTTTTTCTTTGTGAGTATGAGGCTACCATTCCTGTTTCTCTTGAAGGAGTTGGAACTGAATGTCTTGAAGTTCTATTTTTCATAACACTTTCTCTTTTTGACTTAGGAAGCAGAAACTCAATATGAAAAGCAGATTGATAAAATTACTATGGAGACACAAGAACTTAAATGGCAAAAGGTGAGTATTTCCCCCCTATGATTAGCATTTTAGTTTACATTTAAAATATATTGTAATTCTTACTGTAAAATTAGTTTTTAAATTCCTAATGTATTCAGGGGTAGTGTATTATTTGAAACAAAGCCTCAAGACTAACACTGTTGATGATACTTGGGTTTTCATTAAACTGAGTATAAAATTTTTATGTAGACTTTTTGATGTAACACTGAGGATAACTGAAAACTTCTACTTTACATCTAAGGAACATATTATAGTATGTTATGGAGGAATGAGAATGTTTTGAAAGCATTGGGACCTCAGAATTAGTACGATGTTTTTCTTCCAGAGTGGTGTTGTATAATATGATCAAACAGAAAAAAAAACAGCATTAGCTGTGAGTTTTTCCTATATCTATATTAAAGTATTTATGATAGTGCTTCTCATGCTTTTCGATCACAGTAATCTTTTCTGCTAAAAGAGGGAGAGGTGAATAATAATGGCTTCTTTTTTTCTCCTTTAGCAATTTTGAAACAGAGTTAGCATACCAGAATCAATTCAAATGACAGAGTTTAGACTTAATTAGAATCTACAGAACATGGGAGCAAAACCAGGGTTGGGTTATATGAGGGACAGATAAGCTACTGACCTATCTGTGGAGAGAAAAAAACAAGCAAATCCTAAGAATAAACTAAAGCTCAAAATAGATTTAAAAATGTAAAGTCATACCTTATTTCTGTTTATTTATTTATTTTTGGTTGTTGTTTTGAGATGGGGTCTTGCTGTATTGCCCAGGCTGATCTGGAATTTCTGGGTTCAGTTGATCCTCCTACTTCAACCTTCGAGTAACTGGGACTATGGCTGTGCCCATCAGCACTGGCTATATCTTGTTTTTTGGATAGGAAGAATCAGCAGTATACATTTATCTCAATTCTTAAGTAAGTTTAATATAATCCAATTTAAATTACCAAGAACACGTTTGGGAGTAATTAGGCTGATTCTAACGTTTATGTAGTACTAAACATGCAAGAGTGACTGGGAAAGTTTTGAAAAGAAACAAGAGATGATCTAGTCACACTTAATAAACCTACACTAAGTAAAATAGGTTGGTCATGTCTATGAATAGTTATTCAGCAGATCATAATAGGGTAGAAGTAGATCCAAACACATAAGATAATTTAGTGAGTGATAAAAGTAGCTTTCAAAAAACAAGGAAGAATCGACTATTCAGTAAATAGAATTAGAGCTGGTTTCATTTGAAGGAAGCCAGATTCTTATACTACTTTAACTTTTATACATTCTTGGCAGTGTAAATTAGAAGTGCCTTTTTGGGTTCCTCAAAATATTAAGTAAACTGTTAAAAAGCAGATGGATTTATTAGAACTCTTTGCAGTGAGAATACTGTATAGTCTCAATGTTTCAAAGGGACAGGTCAGAATTTTAATATGGAGAGGGTTATAGGATCTGGGCTCAAGTGACTTTAGAGAGATTTTCTAAGGCAGGGCATTGATGAATTGGGCAAATTATGTGCTATAGTATTTTAGGAGAGGTGAATATAGCAACATGAGGATCTCAAAGCTAGTTTTGAGAATAAACTATTGTTTGATAAATTAGGTATTTACCCAAGTAAACTATTGTCTCAGGTAAATTCTTTTGCAGCAATGTCCTGAAACAAACATTGATTAATTTCATTTGCTTTTATGGTCTTATATTTACTGAGCAAAGATTCCTGGAACAAAAGGCTAAGTCTTGTTGTACAGGTTTCTCAGTTCTTAGTACTGAGAGTTGTGTCCTATTGATGCAGATGGTTTTAGTTCTCAGGCCCTTTTGCTTCTTCAGCCTGAGCTGGAGAAGAGTCTGGTTTTTTTTTTTTTTCTTTTATAGTATGGAAGTTGAACTTAGCGCCTCATGCTTGCCAGGCAGGCACTCTTGGCACTTGAGCCATGCCGGCAGCCCTTTTTATATTAGTTAATTTTTGGATATGGTCTTGCTTTTTGTGTTGGGCTGGCTTGGACCATGATCCTCTTATTCATGCTTCTGCATCTATCTGGGATGAAAAGCACATGCCACTGTGTCCAGCAATTGGTTGAGATGGGGTCTTGTGAACTTTTTCACCTAGTCTGGCCTCAAACCATGATCTTCCCTATTTCTGTCTCTCAAGTAGCTATGATTACAGACTTAAGCCACTTCTCTTGGCTGATCCTACTATTATTTAAGATGTGATCAATCAAGGTCTATGCTGCTTTCTGTTTTGTTTTGTTTTTTTCTTTTGCTACTTTGATGTATGTTTTATGAAGAGTCACAATAACATATATGGTTATTTCTGGTGATGGCTGCTTATGATATATATATATATAAATGTTTTTCCTATCTTTTTTGGTACTGGGGATCAAACCCAGGATCTCATGCATGCTGTGCAAACACTGAACTGCTGAGTTACTTCTCCAGCCCCCTTTCCATTTTTGATCATTTGTTGTATTGTTTGACATGGCAGTACCTATACAATAATATTTAAGATTCTAGAAGTGACAAATTCAGACATACCGACATGGTAAAGTACTTAGGAGTGTTGATACTCTAAGGCAGTAGCCAGAATACTCAAATAACCAATAGAAAGAGAGGCCATCCCCAACTCATAATCAAATTTCAGCCCATTATTGAACTTACACCATACAGTGGTCAAGAATGCAGAGACCAATATTAAGGATAAGGACTTTGGAAATGATCAAGTTTTAGAAATAATACATGTTTTCTCATTTAAGGTTCTGGATTACTTGGATTTTATGTTGTTTGTTTTGTTTTGGTTGAGACAGTGTCTTACATGCAGGCCCGGCTGGCTGGAACTCACTATGTGCCAAGGTTGGGTCTTGAACTTGATTCTCTCCTACTTACTTCCCAAGTGCTGGGATTAAGGTGTGGTCCATCACACAAGATTCTGGATTGTTAAGAGGAAACAAAATATAGAAAAGTAAAGAACAAAACCCGCAAATAAAACATTATGAACTATGGCTCTGCTTATCTGATTGAGGGAGTGAGCTTTTTTTTGTAAGAGCCATATGGCAAAGTACATCAAGTTTTGTGGACCATATAGTCTCTGTCACAACTGCTTAACTCTGTAGTTGTAGTGTGAAAGCAGCCATGGGGCAATACTTAAAATGAATAAGTGCATCTGTGTTCTAACAAAATTTTGTAGACACTGACATTTCATACAATTTTCAAGTGACTTGAAGTATTTTTTTTCTTTTTAGCCATTTAAAAATATAGAATCCATTTTTAGTTCACCAGTCATACAAAAACACTTGCTCAGACTTGGTCTATAGGTTATAGTTGTTGCTCTGAATAAAGATCTCACTCTGTAGGTCTTGGGTAGAGGTTATCTATCAATATAGTTGCCTTCTTGGCAGAACTGTTTTCTGAGAGTCTATTTTGAAATTTCTTAAGCTTCTATAGTTTAAATCCTCATGGTGGAATGGTACTCCAGGTATTAGAGAGTAAAATCTAGTATCTGTTGGTTAGGACATAATGAACCCAAAGGATCCTATGGCCTTGGAGTTCAGATAGTGCAAGCAGTTGAAGAACCTGATAAAAGATTTTCCAACATGGTTAAGTGTTTTTGTTTTCCTCTCTAGGGTCAATTACAGAAAAACATTTTCTCTGTGTTTTAGATTATGTAGAGGAATGGAATTTGTGTTTATTGGTGAGAAGTCTATGAAGCATATTTCATGAATCCCTTGGAGTACTTTACCAAGTTTGTTTAAATAAGGAGATGCTCACTCGGGGGAGAGTGGCCAATTTATACAACAACCTCTAACAAATTTGTTGGTTTCAAGCCAATGAGTGTAGGAGAATAGTCTGCATAGGAGTAAAAGATTAAAATGCATTAACTTTCTCTAGTTTTCCTTTAAGATTGAGGATGATGAAGCAATGAGTTTCTAAATAAATGCAAGCCTTTGTAAAGTTCTCTAATAACAGTTCCAGGTAAAAATAAGTGCTTCTGTCATTGGAAATCCTCAGGCTGGACACACAAAATCAAGTAATTTTTTTTCTACTTTAGAACAGTAGCCTTTGGCAAGAAGTTTCAGTCCATCCTGAAATGAAGTAAGTAATGATAGAACCATTCAGATCCAGTAAGCAGGGGTTAATTTTAGGAAATCTATTTGTATATATGTGGAATCTGAGGTTTGGATATGCCAGGATAACAATTTTATTAGGATGTCTGGTCACAGATAAAATGTACCAAGAACATCCTTAGCAATCTTAGTAAAATTTGCCATCAGTGCTAACTTGAGTATTGTTTCCAATTCACCCTGCTCTGACAGTAATTTCATATAAAATTTTGTGAAGTTCCATCAAGGTCCTCTGGTGCCACCAAGTGTCTGTCCTGAGTGTCCTGAAAGAGATTCCTCTTGTACTTATGTCATGTTTTTGTTTGTTTGTTTTTTTTCATATATAGAAGCCAGTTGTGAGATTTCAAAATAGCCTTTTTTTAATCTCAAAGAGTTTGATTTTTGAGTATTCATGGGGTTGGGACCTGTATTACAAAGATTAGTTAGAGATTTCATTTTGCCTTTGTGTTATCCTTTTTATTGTAGATGTATAATAGCATCTCCTTAGAACCATTAGAATACTGAAAATTGTTGCCCATTGAAATTGGGATTCCTACTGAGATTAGAAACTTATTGTTTCTACAGTATCTAAATCATGGAACATCTCCAAATTCATACTGCTAACTTGTGTTAACTGACAACTGGCAAGCTTTGCTGAGTATGATAAGTTCCTGCCATCTTGACTGATTTTACCTTCTGGTAAGGAGTCATAAATAGTAGAGGTCAACTGAGACTGTTTCAGTGTATTCTGCTGATAGCTTTCCTATTTTAGTTTTAAAAATGGCCTATCAACAAACAATATTAAACCTAAATTTAATTTAGAGAGAATGTCGTAAGTCAGTTTGCATCATAGTAATTGCTTAGAGACAAGATTGTCATAGATTTCCCTTTCTTTGGATAATAGAAAAAGAGCAGTAAG